CGGATGTATATTTTGTTTTGCTTCTTTTCAGTAAATTCATATTTTTTCAAACAATCTTTTACTTCCGACTTTTCTATTTGCTCGTGCCCCTCCCCCAGGTAGAATTATCACGCCCCTCTAGGGGGGCGTCCCACAGTTTGAGAAACGCCGTCTTAAAACGTTTTTGGAAGGTGCATGAACAAACTCAATTGTCGAGAAAAAGGGGATCGTACCAAAAAACAGTCCACAGAGTTAACTTACCTTCAGTTGGTATAACAGCCCCAATAAGCACTTCAGTTGCTCTTGCCATTCCGCTTACGTCACATGATTCGCTCATTTTTCTTTCGATATAAAAAGTTTTTCGTGATGCTGTATACATTTATTAATGATGCCAGTTTGGTTGTATCGCCAATATTTCTCCAAGTTTTGATTGAAATGCCATTATATTGTAAGGGACGGCGTTGCTTGCGAACATTACAATTTAGAACATAATACATGTAAATTAGTTTTACAATTTGAGCAATGAGTATAAACAGTTGTATGATTTTTACAAAGAGGATTGGTTCGCCGTTTGAAAGACAAGAGGTACCTAGATAAAGAATAGAGAGTATAGAGAGTATAGATATAATAGAGGTACCTAGATATAGAGGTATAGAATAATCTTTTGTTGTTGCCAAAGGAAGCAAAAATAATGTTATTATATGAAAGAACTTATGTAGATCTGTACGGTTAAAATAATGGTAATATATAGTCAATGAAATTAAGTAATATATTTGATTTTAATAGTTAAAGGTATTATATTTATTCAGTGGCATACACAAGAGTGAGGCTTGGGGGAGGCTCAACCCTCCATGGACCAACAGATTTTTAATTTTTTTACATAAAGATTACCACACCGTGCTTTTGTCAAAGAGTTTTTTAGAATTTCCCCTACCCCCTTTCCTATATGAAAGGTCTGTGTACACTATTGAATTTGTTTTTTTATTTCTAAAACATTTCCAACATATCCATTTATCTCACAATGCTATATTTAACCAAAATCAATAGTTATTTTTCACCAAATGAAATATCGAGTGAGGCACACACATTTATGTACTTTAAACTTTCATTCAAAATATTTTCTTATTTATATATTATAAATATTGCACTAAGAAATTATCTTTAAAGAAAAGAATTTTTATGTATCAAATATATTCACAGATATCTGTAAGTTTACATGATTTGTTTTTGCACAGTTTCTTTTCCTTAAGAGTGCTAAAATTAGAAAAAAACTAACTTTTTAGAATACTATTTTTAGGTAAGCATTTTTATGATATAATGTACATACACAGATATTAAGTAAGTTTAGATAATATTTTTTTATGCATCTCTTTCCCTCTTAAATTAAAGAAATTGAAATAGTCTAAAATACAATATTACGAATATATGTAAGCATTAAATTGATACCAAATATACATCAAATACACTGGTATAGCTATTCCTGAGTGGGCCCTGTGTCCACCTTCTTTGGGGGTCCTTTTTGGAAATTTAATAATAGTCGATAAGACTTGTTTGGAAGTGTCGAAATGTTACTTTTGGGCCCCTGTAGCTTAAGAGCCCTGTATCATTGATACAGCGGTAGCTACGCCTCTGATCAAATAAAAGAAATCGCTTATAAAATTAAAATTTATATTTTTATACTTCATGAGTTTTACATATACACAATGAGATTTACAAGTACAGTAAAACCTGCGTTTGTGCGGTAGATAGGGACCGCACAAAAATATTCGAGAATTTCATAAATTCTTACATCTAATAAACAAATTCGTCCAAATGCTATAGAAATTTTTTTATGTGGTGGAGAAAGATCGTATAAAAAAAGTCGCACTTAGAAAATACGCCAATTATTTACGAAATTTATGAGAAAGTACTTCCATAACAAAATAAACAGTTAAATTACACATAGAAACATTTTAAAAACATTTAGTTTCTCATTGTATACACATGGTGAAGTTTTCTAAATGCATATACATAATTCACTGCGTAATCCTAAGTGCTCCTCTTCCTGTGATGAAGAAGTTCAAAATCCGCTCTCGTCACTTGAAGATACAATTTCAATTTATTTATTTTTGGCACCATAAAGTAAGAGATAAGTTTTTGGGACGAAGGTTGGTTGGTCAGTTGCTTGTAAGTGTCATGATAAACCAGATATGTGTGATCGAAGCTCTTTTTTGAAATTTCGTACTCCTTTTGAAATGGGTATCTATTTTAAGAAAATGCTTTCCCAATTTGTTGGAAAGGTGTATCTTTGCCTATATTTCACCCGCTCTCAAAGAATCCGGTTTTTCTTGTCCGTCTTCATAATGTATCAAATTATTGATAGTGTCACTGTCATTGAAAGCTTCGTCTTGAATCAAGCGCGGGCTGCTGGCGCGTTGAGAGAAAGAAACTGAACGTGCATTGTCGAGAGACTTTATAACCAATGAACAGAGCGTCTTGAAGTGTATATATGTACATTGCAGTGACGTAAAGTAAACCCCCGCCCCACGGGGGGGGGGTGTACTCTAGGAAGCCCAATGCCTCACTAACGCCAAGTACTTATTTACCTAATTATTTTAATATTAAAAGCAAAACCTGACTTTGTAGAAGGGGTTTCTAACATTCTGCGTTACGCCACTGGTACATTGATAGAGGGCATTGCAGTGGCGTCAAAGCCATTGAAATTCATATACCACATAGAAAAAATCGCACAAAAAAGGACCACACAAAAACCATTTCTACTGTAAAAATTCAACCCATCTTTAGACATTTCAGTTGTTGCGGGTTCGACCCCGGCCCAAGTCGCTGGATTTTCATGATGCAGAAAATCGACAGTGGCTATGTCGTATGATTATGCGGCATGTAAAAGATCCCTAGAGTGTCTATTTGGCTTGGATGCTCTCGGCAAAATTAAATCCTAGAACAGGTTTGCATCGTCAAGAGCTTAGGTGCCTCCCTCTGTGGAGGAAACTGGGCGTTAAAATTGCTTGCTGTAATTGGTATCGCCTATACGGTGCAACGCTAAAAAGTGATACCAGCTCCTGGGGAATGTACTAGGTCTGCAAAGGTTTAAAATACCAACGCGCAGCCCCATTAGAAAAAAAAAGTTGTCAAATATGGTGAAAATAACTGAATGACTGTATCATACAATGTGACTTGGATACTGCAGTCAGTGATTGGAAGTTGCAGTTAGATAAATTCTCCTTATGGTTGAACTTAACGTCATTCTAGAGTTATAAGAAGGTTTTTTATCTACTTAATTTCCCGAACTTCTAAGCCACATCACATATGAACTTAGAGAATCGATAGATTTCAACGTACTCCTATTATTATATAATCCTTTATTACGGAATAACGGCAGCAAATAAATAATACTAGAAATAATATTTGACATGAACATTGATGGACACGGATCATCCGACGACGGCATGAATAGAATTCCGTGGCAATTAAATTTATTACGGACCACTTTTTGCTTGCAATTATCATTTCGAAGGTTATTGAAAATTTGTTTAGAATACCTCAACAATTCGTTATTATTTGTCAAAATTTATTTTAATTCGTATACCATGTCACAAATTGTTATTCTTTAACTCAAGGTAGTCGGTAAATATGTGTACAACAAAAATGGTTAGTGATAAATATCATCGATAGGAAATCAAGTTTCATACATGTGTGTGTGTGAGAGGTTTTAAATAATTCAATATAGTAGTTATTTAAATTATTCAAATATCTTCTTGAAACTAAGTTATTTTTGCCTAAGAATAAGAATTTGCTAATTATAATACTGCTCGTAATACTCTCTTCAGCTTTGCAACATTATGCAGAACCTCTGAACATTTACTTTAAATAAAAGATTATTATACAATTCACTTTTAAAAAGTCATCTATCTTTGTTACTTTGGCGTGTGTGATCAAAAAAGGAATATTTTTCGATTGTTCGGAGTAAATCGAAAAGAGGAATATGATGAATCGCCTTTGAAGCTTAGATTTGTAGACATTTCTTGATTAAATTGTGATTTTATTTGATTAGAATGTTAGATATTCCATTCATCATAGTAATGCAAATCATTTTTTATCAATCTCGAAAATTCCTTTTTATTTTTTTTTCTTGCAGGTTTTCTCATATTTTATGCTGATTTTTTGCTCTTTCGATATATTTTTCGGTGTATTATTTTTCATATTCCTAGACAATATGTAGTTTACATGTTTTATTTTTTCAGTTTCTTTAGATTTAGATTTTTTTGTAAAGAACTTTCTTGTGCTGCGAGATAAAAATATTCATGAATAATCTAAGAAAAATTTTTAAGCAGCCAATTAAAACTAATGGGTTGCTCAAATTATTTAATTTATATTCTTAAAAATGCAAAATATAAAAGAAAAACTGAATGATTTTTTAAATTATATGAAGAATAATAAGTGATTATTGAATTGGTGCAATATTCAAATGATTCCCATTTAAACCTTTTTTAATTTCATTATTCGAGAATTTATAGTTTTCTTTGATAAGATTATTCGGATAATTTTTTTATTCTGGTTTTGAAATAATAATTTATTTCAAAGTAAGAGGGTTGTGTTAAAAAACAACCTGAAAAAAAGAACAGCAGCCTTTAGAATAAAAGAAAATGCATGCTACGCGCGCGCGATTTTAGACTGCTTTTAAAATAAGAATTCACACAACTTTCATAGAAATATTTGGCAGTATTCGAGACAAAGTACATACTTTTTAAATTCCTCCTATTAATTCACACCCTCCTCCCTATATAAATATATATATATCTTGTTCAAATTTTCAATCGTTAATAAAATATTTTCTATTCATCCATTCAAGTTCAAATACATTTTTTAAAACTTGTAATGGATGACACTTGATGTTAGTACAGTTTTTTCAAAGAACAATTCATTAATTAAATAAAAAATGAATAAATAGTAAAAAAAAATAATAGACCAAAAGCATATATTGAAAGGAAAATAGTTCACACACACACACACACATTGTGTCCCTGTAGCGCAATGGATAGTGCGTTGAACCTTCTAATCTAAAGGCCGTGGGTCCAAATCCCACCTGAAAGGACCTAATTTCTGAGAATGTGATTTCTTTTTTACTATGCTATTTTATTAGAATAGTTGAATTTAATGAATGAATAAATAGTAACAAACAAACAAAAATAGTCCAACTCCATATATAGGAAGAAAAATGGCAAATTGTGCATAGAAAATCGCTTTCTATTTTGTGACTTAAATTTTTTTTATCTTACTTGTTTTTATTTCTGGTATTGGCCACTGGATTGGTATTTGACCACTGCAGACCTAGTACATTCCCTGGGAGCTGGTATCTCTTTTTAGTGTGGCACCATATAGGCGGATACCAGTCGCCACAAACAATTTACTTAGCACATACTTGGCATTTCAAAAGTTATTTTTTATAAAGTTTTTATTTACTAATGGTTTCATAACAGCAACAAATCATTAATTATAAATAAATTACTTTATGACTCATAAAGGTATCCGACTACTTGCGACAACTTTAAAAAAAAAAAAATGGAAATATGGGGATTTTTTTGCGGTTTTTAGATTCGTTTAGTACATTTTAAGAAAAATATGCTAAAATTAAGAAGACAAAAAGAAATTATTATTACTAAAATGGGAAAAAATTGATAAAAATTTACAAAAAATAACATAAACGCTGCCCATTCTGTACCAAAAGTTTTTATACAAATGTTCAATTTTTCAGTTCTAATGTGTTGCTATGTTATTTATTTTTAAAATGACCTTCAAGAAAAGAGAAATTTTAATTTTTACCAAAACTAGAGCACTTTATTTTCGTTATTATATGAAATTGCTTAAAAAAACAGTGATTCTATTCACATAAGGGACTGTAAATCTTACAATAAAGCAGTGATTGTTAAACCTGAAGGTTAAAACACTTCTACTATTATACAGAACATACACCAAAAATTTCACACACAGTTAGTTATTTTCAAAACTTTTTTAGCAATCGCTGACCCCGTTTGAACATTAAAAAAAACACACATTTCGAGTAAAACGCGTTTTAAAGTATGACATTTTGCTTAAAGTAATGACATCTGCTTCTACTAAAACACTTGTATTTTTAGTTCTAGTGAACGGAAAATAATACATTTGGTATTTTTATAAAGCTAATAAAATGGTCTATAAAATAAAATCATAAAAAAAATTGGAAATTTTTGGCAAAATTCACAATTTTAGGGTAGTTAGATACCTTAAGTTAAATTAATTAATAATTTGTTTGTATTTTTTTCCTGATATATTTATTATAGTGTTACATTTATTTACTAATCTTCTGATAAAAAAAAACTACGGAATTAAGTTGTTTAGTAGTTTTTTTTTTTACTTTCGCAGTGAAAGTATCATTAAATGAGTTAGAAATGCCACACCGACGATCGATGTAACAAAAACACATCTGTTAAAGCTTTAAAATTCACGAAGTATCACAAAATTCCTAAGTGTTCCCAGATAAAAACACCAAGACTAAAAAAAAAAAGAAAAAAAGAAAACCACGAGCCATCTCCACAATTTATTCCACAGATGATAGCTGGAAGCCATCGAACTCCAACTTCGAGACTTGCAGAAAAGTGGAATCGAATTCTAGGCAACACACGTCTTCATGATCAACATTCTTACACTAGAATGGAATAAAAAGAAGAGGAAAAATAAATGAAAAGGAGATCTTTTCTCTGGCCCACAGCCAAACAACTTTTTGCGCTGGGCTCTCCGTTGGCGTTTCGACGTACTGAAATTATCGAACTATATTAGATTACGAAAGACCAAGAGAGTCATACCAAAGCGATAAAGAAGTTTTAAAGGTAGGTAAGGTTACTTGAAGCACACTGTAATAAGCCAAGGGAGATGTTAAGAATCTTTAATATCTTACCATATCCCTTAAAAACTATTACTAAGATTGTTCAGGGAAATGGTATACTATTATGGGATCGAGAAAATCATTCTAGACGTGAATGATATACATTTCTGAAGCTACTAGTGTCCGAAGAAATAGTTTGAACATTAAAGTTTCTCTTGATACGATCAATATAAAATTGTAAGTTTAATGAAAGTTTTATTTAATGATTTTATGCTAAAGTATTTTTTGATGAACTCAACAATTTAATTAAAGGGAGAGGGGAATAAAATGTAGAAAAGCTTTAGAGTTGTAACTAATGAATTTTTTCTCATAGGCGAAATCTTTTTTTGTAAAAAAAATTATCTGTCTGTCTTGTTCGAAAAGATTTACATTTTTAATACATTTTTTCTTAATAGATGATCCAGGCGAGGATGAGTGAGTAAAAAGCAACACAAGGGATATTGGTGACGGATCTCGTAATTTTGAACGATGGTCAAGTGACAAAGAGGATACCTGAGTGGCCACACGCCTGCTCCAAAAAGCCGCATCACTCCAATGGGAGGAATTTTAAATACGACAGATTTAACGTGCATTAGCTTTTCTATACGGTGGGTTTGTAGTGGCACAAAGACTTGGACTCGAGACGCGCTAGTCAAGAGACCAAGACCTTGACCATTAGGCCACCGCGGCCTTCAGGAGAGAGATATATTCATTTGAAATAACACAAACCTGAATAATATATTTTTTGAAAGGAGAGTGTGAGTGAATATTTACGTCGCACTGTTCAGGTACTCGAGGGCTTTTGGTGACGGACTTCGTAATTTTGAACCATGGTCAAGGGACGAGACGACACCTGAGCTGGCACCCCTTCTCCTAATTACCACACCACACCAATGGGAGAACGTTCGAGCTCTCGACTGATTTAACGTGCATCGCTCCCCTACATGGCGGACCTTCGGTGGTACTAGGCTCGAACTGATGACATGCCAGCCACAACTCCTTTACCTTGACCACTACGCGACCACGGCCTTCTTGAAAAGAGAACAATAGCTTGTAAAATAGTTATATAACTTCAACATAAATTTTTTTTTACCAAGAATATTATCCTGATGCAAACTTTCTGTTGCAACATATCTATTCTAGAAGGCAAACGTTTAAAATTTTTTTTCTATTTTGTATATATAAGTGCCTTAAAGGTTCCATGCACTTATTCTTAATATATCATTTATAAAATCGTAGCAAAATGAATACAATCACAATTGACGAAACAGAGGTATTTTTGGGGATCTGTACATATATGTCAGTTGTAAATTTATCTTTTATAAGAAGGTATTAGTCACATATTAAATGAGAGGAAATGATTTAAAATACAATTACAAACCAAAAAAAAAGTTTGCCCATCAAGGCAAGCTCTGTTCTCACGGATATCATCTGCGATAGAGTGGTGTCTCTGACTTAACAAATTGCAAACATTCTTCAAAGATCTAAAATAAAATTATTCCTCTGAAAATCTGTATATTCTTGCATCAATTGTAAAGTATATTTGTGCATTGATGGAAATTATGATTGTTTTTATCGTTTTCATCACCAAAGGTGAAAAAATAATGATAAATATACGTTTATACAGGCTATATATATGCATGCGAACCACTATAGAGGAAAACTGTTGCAATTATTTAAAACAAAATCTGAATAAGATTAATTTTTTAAAACTATTCCGGCTATTCTAAATGGAAACAAGTAATATGAAAAAAAGTTTTAAATCAATTCCTACTCAGGTCAACAAAGAAATAATTTATTTTAGTTTCTTTTTATTAAATAATTACAATTAATATAAATCTGTATATTCACATGACAGAATCACAATATTAAGTGACAAAATAGAAAGCGATTATTCTTTTTCCTTTCTATGTATGGTGTTGGGCTATTTTTTTGTTAGTATTAATTCAATAATTAAATTTAATTATTTTAATAAAATAGCATAGTAAGAAAGAAAGCACATTCTCAGAAGTTAGGCCATCCCAGGTGGGATTCGAATCCCCGACCTTTGGATTAGAAGTCCAACGCGCTATTTATTGCGCTACAGGGACATAACGAACGATTATCCTTTCTATATATGGTATTGAACTATTATTTTTGATTGTTGCGATTTATTCATTTTGTATAATTTAATTAATGAATTAATATTTGAAAAAAACTGTATTAACATCAAATGTCATCCACTACAAATTAAAAAAAATGTATTTGAACCTGAATGGATTTTACTAACGATTGAAAATTTGAACGAGATTATATATATATATATATATATATATATATAGGAAGAGAGTGAACTAATAAGAGGAAATGAAAAAACGTAAGCACTTTCGCGTTTCGTTTTTCTCCAGATTATTCGTTTACTACAAAGGGTTATAATAAAGAGTCTTACCAGTGGGTAAAAAAAGTATTGGCAATTATCTATAATTGATCATATTAGCTAACAAAGGAAATGAATGACAATTTTAACTGGACATAACGAACACAGGAGGTAATAAACACACAAATCTAATGAAACTTTCATTTTAATATGCCTTTTACACAAAATATACAACAAAAATGTAAATTTGCATGTCAAAAAAGTATTGGCAAAGTTCTAACTGTTATGCAAATTTTGTCATGTTGAGGTCACGTGTTTAGACTGATAAAAAAGCTTGTTAGTATAAAGTCTGTGCAGAGCTATTTCAAAATTTTTAAAACGTTATTTTGTCAATGCTGTGAAAAAATGGCTTCGAATTCGACGGAGTTGGATGTTAAAAACATGTTTATTCAGCTCAGAATAGAGGGTTTAACTTATCGTGCTATAGGAATACAACTGAGCACAAGTTTATTTACTGTCAGAAGTGTTGTAAAAAAGTTCAACGAGACAGGATCCACAGAAAATAAGGATCGAAGTGGACGGCCTGGAATATTTTCTACAAGGGAGAAACGTAGCATTATCAAAGAGGTTAAGAAAAATCCCAAAATAAGTGCACCCCAGTTAGGCAAAGATGTTGCTAATACTTCGCATAAAACTTTTAGTGTACAGACTATACGGAATGTTTTACATGAAGAAAGTTATTATGGAAGGGCAGCTAGAAAGAAACCTTTCATTTCTGAAAGAAACAGAAGAAAGAGATTAGATTTTGCAAAATCTCACGTTAATTTATCAGATGAG